TCTGGCCTTCTCCCCCCCCATCCACAGGCATGACTCTCAGAGGCAGGGTGGGATTTGAAGTTTCACCACAGCTGAAGTGCAAAGGTTGTCTACCCCTAATCTAGGCTTTTCCCCACCCAACCTGGCTGCCCCTGGCCCCTCCCCTTTTATTGTATTTCACTTCTTTCAACCATGGAGGCTCAGCATTACAAGTGGTTGTTACTTTGGACTGTCTGCATGCAAATGCAATCTGCCTAGGGGCACCCATTGCCCTAGACCAGGGGTAGCCAAACCCTGGGCCTCCAGCTGTGGTGAAACTACAAATCCCATGATGCCTCTCTCTGGGAGTCATGTCTGTAGCTGTGAGAATCTTGCAATGCCTCATGGGATTTGTAGTTCCACCACAGCTGGAGGGCCGGAGCTTGGCTACCCCTGCCCTAGACTGACACCTACCCATCAAGATAATATGCTATTTGTATAACTTCTTCAAAGAGCTGGCCCACTGCTTGCATCAGGGCTAAGGGCTCTTGAATGCAGTACTGAGGCAGGGTGCTGTGATGTATTCAAGAAGCTATGTACAGCACTCTACTAGCTCCAACCAGCAGCCACGATTTGCTGCATTGCGTAGAGAAGCACAGAGACCCATTGATGACAGTTCATTAGGGAGGGAGGAACCTAGGAAGGCAGATTTAAGCCCTAATAACACCTTTTTACTACCTATTACTCCCCTGGGGGCAGTTGGGACGTTTTATATTTAAAGTCCATCTCACATGGGATGTGCTAAACATTGCAAAGATGGTCTCACAATTGTCTGAGTGAATCCTCATTTCTCTTTTCAGGTTTGTGTTCCAAGCCAAGGTTGGCGGTCGGTGGTTCCCCCCAGTGACCGCATCCAATAAGAAACAGGCAAAAGCAGAGGCAGCTGATGCTGCTCTGAGGGTCCTTATTGGAGAGGCAGAAAAAGCCATTAGGGAAGGTGATAGTATGGCAGAGGTAAGATTCTGGAATAGCTCATTATAGTCCCCGGGGGGGGGGCATAGATTCTTGTAACTGCTTAGTACAGTGTCGGCCAAACTGTGTTCATCTTTCCAATGATGGTGGATACAGAGCATATTGTCTGTTGTCGTCTCCAGCTCCCAGTCAGCGGCAGCACCATTCACGACCAGATCGCCATGCTGAGCCACCAGAAATTCAACAGCTTGACGGCCCGGATCCAGAACAGCCTTCTCGGAAGGAAAATCTTGGCGGCCATCATCATGAGGAAGAACAGCGATGACCTGGGCAGTGTGGTTAGCATTGGCACTGGTGAGTATTCTCAACATTGAGTGAGATCTATAGAGGGAAGGGGGGAACTTTTCTAATGGATGTTGTGTTCCAGGTAACCGTTGTGTGAAAGGGGAGGAGCTGAGCCTGTGCGGGGAGACGGTCAACGACTGCCATGCTGAGATCATTGCCCGCAGGGGGTTTATAAGGTGAGTAAACAAATCTATAGGCGTGCTGAGACTTTATTAAAGTGTCTGAAGTTGGCACCGTCTGTTGTGTCATTTAAACTGATCCAAACTTCTCAGAGAAGGACAGCTAGTGCTCTCTAATCTGCAAAGATCACACATCCTGCTAATGATTGCAGAGCATTGGTAGGGGTACGTTGTCAGACCTCTGCCAAGAAATAGAGATTTTATTTTTTCTCTCTTCCCCTCTCCGTCTTTCTTCCTTTTTGCTATTTGTTTCTCCTCCCATCTTCTTTCTCCTCCCATCTTCTCGTCTCTCCTCTTCCTTCTCGTCTCTCTCCTCTTCTTCCTTCTCGTCTCTCTCCTCCTCTTCCTTCTCGTCTCTCTCCTCTTCTTCCTTCTCGTCTCTCTCCTCTTCCTTCTTGTCTCTCTCCTCCTCTTCCTTCTCGTCTTTCTTCTCTT